TATGATTCTATGATTCTATGATAAGTTTTGATATTCTGGTGGAAGTAAGGACTAGCTTCTCCAATGGTAGTGACTGCAAAGATATATGTCAACAAAGTGTGCATATCAAAACTCAAATGCAAACACAGCTACCTCGACTGAGGGTGTGCATTTCATCAGTCCCTAGCATTCCACTTGTTTTTGATTTGTCTAAATAGTAACTGTGATATATCACCTCTTTGAAAGGGCATGGCATTTTCAGAGGGAAATTTTAACAAATAACTTTTGAGTGCAGAGCATAATTATTTGGTTTACCTCCAGAGTTAATAATGAAGTCCTATTAAGGAAATTTCTTCTGCAATAAGTCATTTCGGCACGATACCCCCCTTCTTGTCGAGCCCTTTTCCACCTAAGGAAAAAATCCTGTCTTATTACAGTAAAAAGAATCATATCAAGAGTATAACAATATGAAAGTGGTAGTAAGTTAAAAGGCAATACTGTGTTTTGGTCAGCATTCTCCAATCAAAATTAGAAATAAGTGGCATTAATGAAGATGATTGCTGCTGGTATAAGAGCACTCCGGAAAACATGCCTGTAGCATAAATTGGACAGACACTACCAAAAATACAAGGTAATTTTCTCTCAACAGAACTGTCTGTCTTGACAGTTGAAACAAAATTCGGGTGTGGTTTTTGAGACTTAGTGATAATATCCTATAAAGAAAAAAAAAGTATGTCATTTTATAATACATACATTTGTACTTTCTCAAATACAAAACATTCAGGTCAGCACACCACAAACAAAATACTTTAAACACTAGGATAAACAGACACAGTACACCTCTATATGTGTGCAAGCATAGTTAAAAGCAGTTAAAGGATAAAGCACTAAGCAAGCTATCCTTTTGTGTAACAGTATTTGGCAATCTACTGTTACTCTGAAGAGAAAAACTTCAGGTGCAAGCAATTCAAGAGAAGATACTTATTAAGGATTCTTTACAGAACTACATTACTTAAGTGTTAATAGCTGTTAAGCTGTTATCTGCATCTAACTATAAGCACAGAAGAATTATCATTTACCCCAGATAAGCATTGTAGATTGTTATATGATCTGAAACTGCAATTGCTAGAGATGATTTTGCAAGATCTGCTTCATCTTTTCGACCAATTGGTGTAGTAAATGGGGATTTTTCTGTCATAACAGCAGCCAGAGTTGCCTGCAATTAGCAAAGTACACATCACTTAAGAGTATTTTGTTATAAGCTTACAGGTTTATCATACAAATAGCTTTAAATTTTCTTTTACAGTAATATTTAATGATACTTTATTTTATCTTCTACTAAGTCTCAGGGAAGACTTATCATCATAAGAATTTCCTACATAGAATCCAGAACTTACTTCCATTAAAGCATTGCTTACATAGTGCCTTACATACACTGATAAAAAAATACTAAATCTCAAAACTCACATCAAATGGTTTGTCAAATGACAGAGCAATACCCGATACGATACAGTTGAAGGTCAGATTAAACAACTGCTTTAGATTATACCACATTAACAGGAAATATTGAGAGAAAAAAGAATTTTAACTTTCAGTTTTCAGCAACTAACATACCCATGCTTCCTCCTAATTTGCTTCCTCTTATTTTTCAGATTAGCTGAAAGTGTGAACTCTGCCACAGTCTTCATATAACAAGTTACCACATTAATTAATTTGCAGTAACTTTACATCAACATGTTCCTGGCCCACAAACTGTGGGGTAATCCAAATTGGTCTAACCCACATGTAAGAGGGCTTTTTCTCTAAGTGTCATACTCCCTGGGATCATAACAGAACTGGAGACCAAGTCTGACTATCCCCTTGTGAATAGTACCTAGGAGTTTAGAATCATAGAATCATTTAGGTTGGAAAACACCTTTAAGATCATGGAGTCCAACCGTAAAGAACACTTAGATTGTTCCACTCCATGATGTCCAGGTGCCCTCACCTTAAAATAAGCATTTTAACTTCTTGCATCATCCTTTCAAAATACCATATTGCAAGCAATCAGATTAATTGTAAAGCATTAACCATTTCTATACTTTTTTTAAATTTAGAGATTTTTTTTTTTTTTTTTTTTACTCCCCACAGGATCCAGGCAGCCAAATATAGCACCAAATATAAGCATTTTGCCAATCTTTACATTGACAGGAAGGGCTGCAAGGTGCTGGCCCAATGGAGTCAGCTTGGGCTCGTTTAACAGACAAGCCCCAATCTTCCTCAACAGGTTCATTGCATTACCAATTACTTGCTGCTGTGGCGGGTTTTTTTTTTTTTTTTACTCACCACAGGATCCAGGCAGCCAAATATAGCACCAAATATAAGCATTTTGCCAATCTTTACATTGACAGGAAGGGCTGCAAGGTGCTGGCCCAATGGAGTCAGCTTGGGCTCGTTTAACAGACAAGCCCCAATCTTCCTCAACAGGTTCATTGCATTACCAATTACTTGCTGCTGTGGCGGGTCTAACGCTCTGGAAAGGAAATCTTCGGGAGAGCCAAGACTGCATTTCTGTGGAGTAAATGGGCACATATTTCAATATTAAAATTTATTGTAACAAACTTTTATAGTAGTTAAAAAGGAAAATGGAAAACTGTTCTTGCAAACAAAAGCCCACATTCCCTCCCCTTTAAACCAGCCTCTTGGTTCCCAGAACACGCCCCGCATTAGGTTAACAAAGCTTCATTGTTTGGAAGGACTTTGTATGGCATGACCACTGATCAGAGAAGCACAACCAATGGTCATAGGTGAGCAGGAGACTCTCAAACCTGATGAGATGCAGTTCAACCTGGCACTAATTTGCAAGGCTTCTAGTTTTCCCATGCATATCCTACTCACTCAGTATGGGGAGAGAGGGAATGGAATTGCTTCCTTAAGCAGAAATCAGTTTGAAGGCTATTTAACTAAGTTTGAATTGTCACTCTGAGGTAAACTGGAATCGTATAGTATGCTATTCTCACTCAGCAGCATGCTCTGGATTTTCCAACACACAGGTACTGGGTTCCCCCCTGCCCTGGTGGGAGAAGCCCCACTAACTACACTGGATTAGGGCTGTCCTAGCAAACCTTTTTAGCTAACAAGGTCAGTAATTCCAAAACCAAAACCACACAATAGTATGAATGTGTAATTCCTCCAAAGGCACCTGTAATATTTTTAGCTAGCAAGGCCAGTAATTCTAAAACCAAAACCATACCATAATATGAAGGCATAATTCCTCCAAAGGCACACGCAATATTTCTGGAACAGAGTATTCCATGAAACTTTCAAACCTGCAACATCAAAAAACATAGGATCACAGACATTCAATTTGATCTTTGAATTCAACTTATAGACTCAGGTTTCACATGCTCATTCTTTGCAGATGTTCTTTTGAGGTGCAACGGGTTGGAGTCGCATGTGTTTTAATGCATGGGTGAACTGTTCATCCTTTGAATTAAGGCATGTGTGGTAGCTTGGAAAACAAGAGTTCTAGTGAAAGAGAAGGTAAGGCAGTAAGACCCTGATTTTCAAAACAAATTCTTAAAATGTATAGCTCTCAAACTGAAAGTCTTGCATGAGGCTAAAATACACACTTTATTGGTTATTTCAAAATACTTTTACCTTAACTGTTTCTCAGCTGAAAGTTGCTTTAGACTTTCAGACAAGCAGGAAAAAGGTTATTCCACTGCAGTAACATAAACTAATTGTGCAGTGCTGTATAATTTGATATTTTCCCCACCTCTTATCCATAGAGATACCACTTCAGAAGCCTACAGATTTGTCTGATAAAAAATTCAACGTTCAGGAGGTAAGGTTTGTATATATTTGATGCAGGGCAGTAGATGTTGTTAAAAACTGATCTTCTACAATTCCTTGGTGCTGCACTTTTCCTTTAATTATGAAATTTTTTTCAAAATACTTACATTATAGAGATACTAAGAATAAAATTAACTTTTTAAAAAATCGTGAAACAAAAAAACTATTTTAACACTTTATTAATACGATATTCAAATTATCTTCTTTTTTTACAGTTTAATCCTTCCAGTTTGCAGTAAAGTGAATTTCAACACGACTTCTTGTTTTTGCACAGAAAAACAGGCAAAGATATTTACGTGATTTACAAAATCTTGCTAACTAAGTTTACAGTACCTGTCTCGTGTGTACATTCGGAAGCAGAATCCATCCCTAACACGCCCAGCTCTTCCTTGTCGCTGCAGAGCACTAGCTTTACTAACAAAGGTCTCCTCCAAGGAACTCATCTGACTGCTTTCGTGATACCTTAAAAATTGTAAAGCAAGTGCCCATTCAGATTTCAGAATTAAAATTCTGATGTATACTTAACTTAAATACCAGTATATTAATAATATTTCTAAATAGTATTTATTTGAAAGTATTATCTTTTGTTTTGAAAACTAAGCATACCTGGCGGAAACTGTACATCATGTAATCTTGGATACAACTCACTAATGAAAGTGTAAGAATTGGAAAATAAAAAAGCTATTGTATTACTTCATCTTCCTGGCAATTCAGAATTGTTCTTTCTAACACATTTTGTAGGGCTTTTCACATTTAAAAAGATGGACAAAAAATAACTTCTAAAAACTGAGATACTAAATAGATATTTTTAAACCAGTACTTAATCATGATTCTCCGTATCTATGAACAACTCCCCTTGTTGTTCTTCACACCATTTGAAAATCCAAAGATTCATCCCAAATTTGTACCTAAACTGCAAGCTGTTCAATGAGCTCAGCACACTTTTTTGTCCAGAACTGTAGTTTAATAAGAATACTAGAAAATTCTTGCAGTACTAACCTCCAAATATTTACAGTAATCGCAGTATGACTGATGAAAATCAAACTCTCACCTATTTTCTTTTGTTCTCCCAGTATCGATTACAAAGACAACATCCGGTATCGTAATACCTGTCTCTGCTATATTGGTTGCCAAAACAATCTGAAAAGAAGCAACATAAAATAAATAAAACAATTATGGAATGTCTAACGGTTTTCATCCTTTTAATCAATATTATAGAATAAGTTTGGTTGAAGTTTTTTTACCCAGAAGTGTTTCCTTAAATAATCTGACAAAGCATTAAAATTACTTGGAAAATGGCTTCGTTTTCCCTAAGTACAGGAGAATCAAAAGTTAAGTGAGAATTTTGCATTCACTTTTTGTTTTCTAATCCATCAAAATTACTAGCTAGTACCTGCCAAAATTAGTCAACTTTGAATTAGTTTGGCAGTAAGTAAAATACTATTTTCCTAGATAAAAGCTATAGTTACTGGTTAAAAACAGTTAAAATACAGGAAAGCAACAATTAAAGAAGCTTTCAGAAAAAAATTAGGTTTAAAAATCTGTCTAATTACTGCCATTGTTTTCACAGCATGCTAGCTTCTATCTGTTACAGACTGCCAAATTAGAAGAATTGCTTCTTTGCAGCGAGAAAATTCCAGGAACAACTGGTTGTTGTGTAATTCTGTATGATTTGATTTTAAAACAATTCAGAGTTGCACCCACAGAAAGCTTCTCCTTTCAGTGGTGTACTTTGCCTTTCTAAACATATCATACCTTTCTAATACCAAGAGGAGGTATTGTAAATGCAGCTGCTTGATCTTGAGTTGAAAGAACAGAATGCAAAGCTATCAACCTGTGCCTAGAACAAGAAATTACACTAATCAATATACACTTGTGAAGATACAGTAAAAAAAAAAAGAGACCAGAACGATGACAGCAGTTTGGAGAAAGCAACTAGAATGGCTCTTGGAAGAGTAAAACTTTGTATGATTAGGCATGAAAGTCTGCTTCAGTCTTTTATTACAGTATCAAGAAAGGATAACACTATCAGTTCATAGGGCTGTTCTCCTACTTGGTAATGCAGGAAAAATACTACTACTGCAGAACTCTAGGTTAATTTACATCAATAGCCTAGCAAAAAAGGGAACTAAGTGTCCATGAACCCGACTTCTTTACATTGTGCTTTCAAGACAATGACCATTACTGAAACTTTGCACAGAGCTATAAACACATGCAACTTTCAGACTGAGTATAAAGGCCTTCAGAGATGAGACAGGCAGATTTGTACTTTCCTTCTTTTCCAGACCTTGACATCTCAGTCCATCTATGAATCTTTAGAATTTGACTGCAAATGTTCTTTTTATGCCATCGTGTTGCTAACTTTTAGTTACCCACAAAATAAATTTCAAAATTATCTGTCACTACAACCCTATGCCATTTCTCTTGGTAGATTACTGTCTCTGGATCTCTTCTCAGGAAGTAATCACTTCCATGTAAACAGTAAGCCACAGAAAGCTATATCCCAGATATGGCAGCTTCCACACCCTAAGAAGGGGAAAAGAAGTAGTCAAGTGCTTTGTGATTAAGTAAGTTTGTTGGAAAAAAGAAATCAAAAGAAAAAAAAGAGTTATTACTGTACCATTCCTAAGCACCTGTCAATTTTGCTTGTATCATTTTTAGATAATAAAAGTACATTTGTAGCACAAACAGCTCAGAGGTATAACTCTTGGTTTCCCTTTTCAAGAATAGTAGACCTTAAAACCCAAGAAACATATTCATTAAGCTAAACTATTAACTTTATAGAAAATATCTGCATTACCTGTCACGCAAGTTAAATCTTCTGTCAGTCGAAATGAGATCATACAGCTGTTGTATATGGGCAAGGCCTGGTAAAAAGATCAGCACAGCACCCTCAATGTTCTTGAACTGGGGACTTCTATCTGGAAAGTTACAGTACAGGAACATAGGTAAAAAAACCATGCATCTGCAAACAGTTTCACCTGAGAACAGGAACTAATTCTGGGCCCTGCAGTAAATGCAGGGATGTTTCATCTAAGAATGAAGTCAAGTACTTCATTATCAGTAGAAAGCACTGGAAAGTAAGTCCAAAGGACAGCCCCAAGTATATCAACTTCTTAAGAAGTAGACTGTACCTAAGTATGCAAGCAACTCCAAAATAAGTTCAAGGTTGATCTTGTAAGGGTTCATATAGAAGATAGCCTGCTGTGTACGACTGCTATACTTCGCATAGGAAGGAGCCAAATCGATACCAGATCCAGAGTGGATTGGGACATACTCCTAAAAAAGAAGAGCAGAAAAAAAATCATATTCTCAGTGTTTTAGAAGAAGGTAAGAGAGCAGAAGATCAATTTGTCCTTCACTTAATTTAGGTTTCTTAAAACAGAGATTGAGGTAAGACACATTTAATTGACTAATTTCCCACCAAAATTAATGTCAGTTAGATTAAATCACAGCCACCTACATAACCTAGTAGAGGTATCTACTACTGTTAAACGACATCCCACATTTAAAAAAAAAAAAGAGTGAAGATTAAAGTTTGTGCAAGCAGTACTATATAGTCTGTTTTACAAATGAAAACAGTTCCCAGCTCCATATCTGGCATCCAGTTGGTATCAGTTCAAAATGGGATAACAGGGTAGCTACTCTTCCTTCAAAACTCCTATTTTGGAGTATAAGAAACCAGTCTCCCCTTTCTCCTCTCTCTCACCCTTCTCAACTAGTGGTTGCAGTGAAAGTTGAGAGTGAATTAGGTGGCAACTCCTGCAGTGTGCTGGAGTAGAAGGAAAGGGGGAGGAAGGGAGAATTAGCAGAACATACAGATATGTAAATTGTTTTATAAATATCTTACAGATACATACTTAGCATAAGGCTTCTATGTTAAGTGGCGCTATTGTAAATTATTTCTTTGTTAATCAATGCACTTAAAGAAGCTTGCCACCACATATCCTTCTGTACTGAAGGCTCAACAGAAATAAACCACAAAGACGGAGAAGCACTCAGGAGAGCACTTTGGCTTCAACTAAAGGATGCTGTTGTGATGTATGGGGTAACTACCGCCTTAGGAAACAAAAAAAATCAGTGGAGCACATGAGGGCATATTTTTTGACATATGCATCAGTGTTTGATCACACCAAGCAAAATCGTCCTGCAGAGGTTCTGAGAGAGCAAGTCAGACCCAAAACATATACAGTCTAGATGAACAGCTTAAGTTGCCTGAAGTCAGGCGGCATTCAGATACCCTTCCCTTCAAGAATTTTGTTCCAAAAGCACATACAGCTGTCACTGCAGTGTACCTACAGGGTTAACTATAGCCTGTTAAACCAAAAAACTCTACACAATAATCTAATGTAAATCATGTCATTTGGCATGCCAAGTTGGAGGATCTTGGGATATTTTCAGCTAAAAAGGATATGCCCTTGCCTCTTCTGTTCTTAGGTTCGCTTAGGCGAATTCTTTGGGAAAAAAAAACTTAAATGTTTTCCCCTGCTGCTACTTATAGATCTAGAGCTGGGAATCTCACAGCTGTACAAGAGAACTCAATGTCAAATATAGCAAAATCAAGGTAACTATGAGGAGTTGGAGAGATAAACACAAGGATGCAGCATTAATAAATATTTGGTTTCCACTGTAGGAGTGCCATTGTGTCTGTCTTATCAATTGAAAGAGTATTTGATATTATACAATCCAATCACATTTAATAAGAACTAAAATGATAAAATAATTAAAAAATAATCAACATTTCCCAGCTAAAACTAGAAATGCCTATTTTACCTGATACTTTGTAGTGCCTCCTCCTTTGCTAGTAACATTTATTGTCACTTCCTCCTCCTCTTCCAAGAACTTCTGACAATATTCTGAGTCTTTCTCCAGAACATAGCCAGTTGCTTCAATTACATCTTCAACATGGAAAATCTTTAGTGAAAATTCACAGAAGAAATACAAGGCATGTCAAAAACTAAGCAGCACCGTTTTTATTTTTAAGCTTACATACAAAGCTGAACAGGGCATGCCCTTCTCTTTTAATCTTGTAATAGATCTTACAAATTTCAACGTAATCTTTCTTATCATTTTTGAAAACCTAAACTTAGAGCTGCTATGAGTTTGTTAATGGGTCTCTCCACATGATTACTAACATTACCTTTACCATAGCCTATATGACAGGCATGAGAAACATACATAAGAGTATAATGACAAAGTTGCATTGGGGGTGGGAGGAATTCTTTAATGCTTTCCTTTCTACCTAAGTTGTGTAGAGAAAAATGAAAGTGTCACTGATGGACTGATTTTAATGAATAATAAACCCATCAGAAAAAAAACAGTACAACCCTGTACTTCAAATACTGAAGGTATTCTATATTTTCAAAACAGAAAAGGGTTATAAGTCCTTGAAACACACGTTTAAGATATGTATTTTTGGTAAGAAAAAAGTGATATAGGTGTATTTCCTACAGCCACTAACCAGGTGTCCTGGTTTCGGCTGGGATAAAGTTAATTTTCTTCCTGGTAGCTGGTATAGTGCTGTGTTTTGGAGTTAGTTTGAGAATAATGTTGATAGCAACAACTAAAACATCAGTGTGTTAAATAGTGTTTAAAAGTCAAGGACTTTTCATCTTCCCATGCTCTGCCAGATCCACAAGAAGCTGGGAGGGAGCATAGTCAGGACAGCTAACCCAAACTGGCCAACAGGGTATTCCATACCATATGACGTCACCCTCAGTATATAAACCCGGGGGAAGAAGAAGGAAGTGGGGGGATGTTTGGAGTGATGGCGTTTGTCTTCCCAAGTAACTGTTACGCATGATGGAGCCCTACTTTCTTGGAGACAGCTGAACACCTGCCTGCAGATGGGAAGTAGCAAATGAATTCCTTGTTTTGCTTTGCTTGTGCACGTAAATTTTGCTTTACCTATTAAACTGCCTTTATCTCAACCTACGAGTTTTCTCACTTTTACCCTTCTGATCTGCTCCCCCATCCCACCAGGGGGGAGTGAGCGAGCGGCTGTGTGGTGCTTAGTTGTCAGCTGGGGTTAAGCCACACCACGAGGCAAACACTATATACATGCATACAAAGTGTCTTGCATAATCAAAGAATCGTTTACTTACCTCAACAGGGTAACTCCTCCCTGAGATCCTTAAAATGGGGCAGTGTGAGAAATAGCTGGAAAACTTCTCACTGTCTACAGTAGCACTCATTAAAATCAGATGCAGATCCGAACGTTTATGCAAGATCTCCTTCAGAATAACTAGCAAGAAATCAGACTGGACACTTCTTTCATGTACCTAGAATTAGAAAAACATATCTATAGTAAGGCTTCAGTACAAGTCAAGACCCAGAATAACTATAGTTTCTGCAGAATAGTAAAAGCTGATAACCTCATCTACAATAACATGAGATATACTTGAAAGAAGACCATCTTCCTGAAGTTTCCGAAGCAGGACACCTGTTGTACAGTAGAGTAGTCTGGTGGCTTCTCCTGTTCTTGATTCCATACGAATTTGATATCCACACAGGGAATTCTTTAAGAAAAGATATTAAAAATATAGGAATAACTTAAAATAGTATACAAGCTAGAGATATTCAAAATGAAGTGAGATTTAAGCACTGCTAGATTCAGACACTGCACAAGTTGCTAATTAAATAGTATGGTGAATGACTACCTGTTTTTCATACACACACTTTCCTTTGTTAAGGGAAGGGAAAATACACTGAAATCCATAACTAAGTTTCTCCAGAACAGCAAAGAGCTGGTAAACTCAGTGTTTTTTTCAGGGCTCTTCGCAGTCCTCAAGCAAAAATATTTTTGCACAAATAGACTACCATAAAACATACAGGACCTTGGTTTTCTTCAAATAACAAAATAACTTATGTTGGAAGTGGGGTGTCTCTCAAAGTAGGGCCTCACTCAAGGCCAGATTGGATTGCTCACAGCCTTATTCAGGGGAGTTTTCTCCATCCTTAATGATAGAGATGCCACAGTGTCTGGGCAATCTGCTCCAATGTTTGACCATCCCCATTATGAAATACTCTTGCTCTTAATCACCCTCTAAAGGTTTTAGAAATCATATATGGATATGCAGAGGTTCACAGGTGACAATTTGGAAAGAACAGCTGACATAGCAAGAAGCCCTTTTCAAGAGAAAGTAACATCTAATCATTTGGTTGTGTAAGAAATAATGTTTCTACTTTGTACCACAAATCTAGCCCCCTGTATTTGATCAAAACTAGAAAAAGGAATTCAGATAAATCTTACTTTTCCTCCCGGTCCTGATTCGCAGCCTAGCTCTTCACAAACCCTGGTTGCCAGACTCACTGCTGAGATTCTTCGGGGTTGAGTGCAAACAATATTACATTTATTTGATCCTTCATCTAGCAACAAGTCTTCTAACAAGAAATGGGGCACCTGGGTACTCTTCCCACTGCCTGTTTCACCAGCCACAACAACTACTCGATGTTTTTTAAGAGTTTCTACAATTGAGTATCTGTGCTTAAACACAGGTAAATTCTGTCTCTCTTTCAGAAGCCTCTGGTATCTGGAGGAACTTTGCAGCTTTTTGAACAAAATCCTTGAAGGTTCCAAATTATCTGTGCCTGAAGTCTCAAGAGAGAGACTGCTGAAGTCCTCATCAGAAACTAAGTTTTCCCAGGAATCTTCAGGACCCTCAGATACTTTTGGTTGATTTTCAGATTGTAGTTGTTGTTGTTGTTTGAGTTTGTTTAATAATCTAGCAATAAAGTTATCACGAGGTTTGTTGGTTTCTATCTTGTTTTCTTCTTCCTTTTTTTTTTCGATATCCCTCCATTCTAGCCAGACATCTCGGTAGGTAGGAGGCAGTAACTGATGAACTGACTTCAGATGGAAAAAGCAGAAAAAAATTATTTTATGTACTACTACTATTTAGTAATATCACTAAAATTTTATGTGTAAATGAACTTTAGTGGCAAAAGATATGACAAAACACGAAATAGGGAGCTATTTCTAAATACAGAAACTATCAAAGCAGTAATATAAACGTCAACAATACACTTTTTATTTTCAACTGACTTGCATTCTTTACAACACTGAAAGAACAGTTGTACTATCAAAAAATTTTCTCCCTGTATGCTGCAACACATATGCATGATTATAGATAAAAGCAAATGAACATATAATAGAAGCAAGTAATTTTATGGGAAACACTTCATTAAACTGTTTTTAGAATGTAACTACAGATATTATAACAAACAAGTGCAGAAGCAGGTTCCAGGCTAACAGTAATATTGGTGAAAATCTTACTTGTCCTTTGGTTAAATGATAGAGTGCCAAAGTAGCAGCTAGATGTTGCGCTTGCATACTATCTTCTGTTACAATTGTAGGGCACATTGCCATTACATCATCTGATGATTTGGTAATCCTGACCCTTAAAGACAAATTCATACAAGCATTTCTTTTAATTTTTCTTACCTATAGAAATAGCAAACTGTTAAATGTTTTTGTTTAAAACATAAGAGTGAAATTCAAATAGAGAAACTAAGCTAAATAAACTTAATGTTACTCAGTAATATTTTGTAAACAGAAACAGCTGATAAACTTTGATTGAATAGCAGAAATTTTTCAGCAGCAGACTCCAGCAGTGAATTTGTGATCCCCTCCTGCCCCAACTCAAATGTCTTCATTTTCTTCAAAGTATAAGTATTTATAGACATACAGATCACCATTAGGGTTAATTGTTTTGAAGGAAGGGCTAAATATTTGTCTGTATGCTTGTAACTACTTAGCATAGATTGAGATAACAGTTAGTGATCTACTGAGACGCAAACATCTGTTTAACTGAGACCAGCAGTCAAATTTCTCATATTCTTAGGGGGACAATATATTAGTAGCTTTTAACTTGAGCAAGAAGACAGGTTCTTTCACTTGGTTCCTTCAAGAAGCATTACTCATTTGTAATGGCATGCCTACTTTAATTGTACGCGATAATATTCTACTTTATACTGCTGTATTATAGACTCGTCTTCTAAAACAAATTTAAAAATCACTGATACTGCACTGTTTTGGTTACAAACTTATGGTAGCTTTCATACAAATTTCTAACTTCCACTTTATTTTAAACGATCCCCAAAAGGTTTTTGGTATTCATATGCTTAAAATCTATAATTTAATATATTACTTTGAATGACAATACCAGAAGTTAATTGTCCAAATTTATCTCACAGGTTCACTTCAGAACCTTTCATTCAGCAGTACAGAATTAAAAACTAATCTCTTCTTTACAGGATCATTCACTAGAATCTTATTTTTGTGATAGTGTCCAGTCTAGGCATTACTTTTGCAGAGCTATCCAATGTGAAATAAGCTCTCTGGTGGATTAAAAAAGAGAGTTTGGGTTACACGCACTATATTCATACAAATCTGGATCCACACGACAAGACAGAAGTAGCCAGCATTTTTATTTTTAATGAACCAAAAGGAAAATGTAAAGTTTATAGGAAATACATACCTACATTTCCAATATTTTCCAACTGGAACTTTTTCAAAAGCAGGGTTTGGGCTCTTGGGAAAATTCTTCCTGCACCAGTCAATCAAAAATTGTTTCGGAGATTTACCAGTCCAGCTTCGAGCACTATAATCAAAATTTCTTACATCTAGCGGTTCTTTCTTTTTCACTACAAGAGCAGAAAGACACATTTTAAGTCTCCTAAAATTTATTTTAGATTCGGTTGATAGACAAAAATGTTTTTACCTTTTCTTCAAACGTGTTTTTACTAGAGAGCAGTATTTTCTGAAATGTTTTGCAGAAATACTGGTACTGATACATAAATTCCCTTTTCCCACAAAAGTATTTAGCAGGAAATTAACTACAATATTTTGTTTGCCATCTTTGATCACCCAATAATTTATGAACTTTCACTAAATTTTGGTTATTAGAAAATAATGTAATAGTTTTAAGGTTTACAATGAAAATAGTTTAAAAAGATGAGAGGGTGACAATGGAAACAGTAACTAGCCCTACAATTAAAAAAAAAAAGATTTTAGACATGACAGTACGGCAAAAACAGCTTTCAACGTCATCTGCTAAAACAAATACAGAACCTTTCATAGAATCATAGAATCATAAAGGTTGGAAAAGTCCTCTAAGATCATCGAGTCCAACTGTCAACCCAACACTACCATGCCCACCTAAACCATGTCCCTAAAAAAGTCAGCTTGGTCAGTGAGGTAGTCCATCTGCCTTTCCCACAATCAGAGCTTGATGACTCAGCACTACAATGCAATACAACCTAGAAAAACAAGAACTAATACTTGAAATTTGTGGTACACTTCAAGCTTGTACTGAACCATTGGCAACACACCTTTTTCTTCCTTTGCAGCACCATCGGGTTTTTCAAGCAAGCTCAAATTCAAAGTGGTTTCTTGAGGCTGAGGTGAAGGAGGCTTTTTCTTTTCATTTTGTTGTTGGTTTGAAATCTTTATAGCTGGATTAAATACTGGATGTTCTTCAAGTATTGCCATTTCTGTCAGAGAGAGGATACAACTTACACCCACCAATTGCTGAGCATTTATTCTTTAGAAAGAAAAGATCGATTATATCAATTGATACTGAGCACCCAAAACCAGAAGTAGTGAAATGTTACTGACTTTTTAGAATTTGACCCACATGGAAAGGATAGATTCAGAAAAGCCTGCAATTCAGACAGTGGCATAAAAGATTATGAAATCGATTCAGACTCAGAGACTTACTTGCCTAACAAATACGCAGGCCACAAAATAAAGCACAGATAATTTGCATAGCTCTACCTTGCTGAATTCTTCTTATTTTCTCCTGTGCTGCCTTCTGGCCTTGCTTGTCTTTGTCTTGCTTGGAGATGCTTGCTTGTTCTTTTGCTTCTGAAAGCTTGGCAGCCAGATGTCCATACCTCTCATTCTATTTGAAACAGAATTATTAATTACAAGTTGAATATTGTACACTTGTCACTTTCAATGAACTTCATAATAAAAAAGTGGGGGCGTTTTGTCCTTTATACCAAGCTTACACAAAGGAGGAACAAACAATTTTTATGTAACTAACAGTCAAAACCTCTCAGAATTTGATAGTCACATTCCTAATCTCACTGAGACGTGTTTCAAGAATTTTTCCTTTCCAGCACAATGCATTCAGAGCCTAGTACAAAAAAGTAGGAAAGGAAAAACAACTTAGGAAAGGAGAAGTTTCAACACATTTCCCATTCAGTAACCTGCAAATGTAAAAATAGATAACATTAAAAAAGTATTCAATCCCCAATTTTTAACAAATAGATCCACCACTTGCAGATGTACCAGACATATCAGTTTTTGAAAGACTTCCATGAAGTGTTATTCTATCTTACTGGGTCAAACTTTTCTTCATCTGTCTCTTTCACAGACTCATTCTTCTCTTCATCACTCTGTTGCTCAGCATATCGCAAAATCCATTCTTTCATACTCACGTCTTTCTCTTTCCCAACATTCATCTCCTAGGAGGAGCAACAAAAATTAAAAGTAGTAACAGTAAGTGAAAACACCAATGCTTTTCTCTGTCAGTATTTAGGAACTATTGCTTAAAATTTTACATATAAACTAAGTTATATGACATAAGTAACACAAAAAAACATGGAGCAAACTTCTTCAACCAGGCTAAACATCTCATAATATACTTACATAGGTCTTAACACTTGAACAATTATAACTGCTGTAAGAAAAAAAAAACACTTTCGCAATAAATCTTTTTGATTTCTACGTTTAAGATTCAATAACCACAGAAATCGAAACACCACAAGTACATAGGCAAACTTAAACCCACACAAGTGGGTTGATCTGTGAATAAACAGAATGAACCCATTCCATGAGAAAATTAAGCCATGCTTTACCACAAAAATGAACTATGAAGAGCCTTTAGAATTCAAATGAAAAAAAAAAAGACCATTCCACTGAAGTTAAAATAATGTGGGTGACAATTACCAAGCATACCCTATTTTCAGAAGTTTTTCACATCAGTGTTGGAAGTCAATGCAAATTCTGTATTTTAGAAAACTCTCTTCCCCCCGGTAAATACAAATGAGTTTCTCAGATTACCTTAGTTTCAGGCCCATTTTCTTTCTTTTTGTTGTCTCCTAAGCGAGGTGGAGGTTCACACTGTGACACAGGAGAACAAAATTTTGCTCTAGGTTTCTGTTGCTGTTCTTCAAACTGCTGGCTAAAACCTTCAGGCAAGGCATCTTCAAAATAAAAAACCCATGTCACAGAATATGTCAATAACAATTACTGAAAATCTTTTAAAGCATGTTGGGAGCCAACTGGAAGAACATAAACAAAAACAGCATGCCTGAAATAAAATCAGGCTTTAGCATTTAGATAAGCCAGTATTTGCTTGTTGGACTTCAATAAAACTCTAAGAGTAGAAACAAGAGGTCTACAAGACTTTATACACTAAAAAAAAATCCCAGAACCAGTCAGCAGCACATCTAGGAAAGGAACACTAGGATGACTACTGGTCTTAGTGAAGCAATATATTTAATTACTACTATGAAGCATTCCCATGGCAGAGCAGGTCCTATTACTCTTCTGTTAAAAACCATAGTCGACTCTCTGTCACCATACTCACCATCAGGAAGGTTTAAACAAAGCCAATCAAGTGCAGAGTGAAGATCACCACCATATAAAAGTGTATTTTTCATTGCTTCTTCAATGTGCTCAGTCTTAAAAGAGAATCTTTGTAAAGCCATGTATACATCCTATGAATAAAAAAGTCAGAAAATATTAGGATTTAATCTAGTAATCTAATACAGGCTTGTAAACTCCTATTTCCCACATATCAGATAACTGGCATTAAATGGAACTAAATAGCATCAATTAATATATCAGAAGGCTGAGCAGAAAATCTTGTTTTGTGTACAAAGCTTATAATACTTTTATTGTAAATATGTATGCATATGTATAAATAAAACTACATTCTAGCCTCTGTACAGGAAGTATTTTCTAGTTAGAAAGATAAACCTACAATTTTCAGCTACATGGAACGAACAATGTAGGAAACATAAAACATTCAGATTAAGTTCTATTCCTCTATCCTGTCTGAAGACTCCGATTTTAGTGAATAAATGCATAAAGACCCATCTTTCCTAATGAGCATACTTGTCAATTCCACTGACTAATCATTAATGTAACTACTGGAAAGCACGCTACACTGGCTTGTACTACATGCAGAAGTGTAGTATGTCACATGATACAAATGACAAAAAAGAAACTGTTTATTCTAAAACAATGGTCAGGGAACAACACTTCAAACTCTACCTGTAGTTTCTTAGCAGTAAGTCTTCTGGAAATCATTCCTTTGTCATCATTTTGGTTTTTATGGTCATTGATTACATCAATAATCCTTTTCTCCAACTTACCATTTATCATTACCTGCACAGAGAAAATTATTTGATACAAAGCAAAACATTACAAATTTTTATGACATATCAATGCTTTTCATGGCTAAGGAAACAAGAATGCAGAAATCTCTCTGCCATTCAAACCCCAACTTTTCCAGCTTTCCGTAAGTGCGGTAAACATTTCTTATAAAAGGGATACTTTTTTTCTTTTTACTCTTGCAAGCTATATGCTTTTATTTGAAATAGAAGAGTTCATTCCTGATTACAGAGAAGCCCTGTTTACATCTTCAAGGAAATTTAGTATGTCAAAGGAAATACTGTAAGGAAATTAAAAAAAAATTTCTACTGTAAAGAACAAGGCCTTTCTCCTCTGCTTACAAGAACTGGTATAAAATAATTTGATCATCAAGATACAATCTGTGACACTCTCCTTCCTATCTGGCTTAAGAAAAAAGAATTAATAAAATAACAATTTTAGTATTTTTGACACTTCTAAAACATGAACCAAACTTTGTTTGCTACTGAGGTTGTATAAATCTGTATTCTTCCTCTGACAGCAAGAAGAATCCATATGCACAGCAGAAGCCCAAACATAACTCTTAGTAGTCCTGCACGCGATGTATCACGTTACTTAAAAAAAATAGATGTTCTCCTGCCCTGTTAGTTTACCCCTATTTCTTAAAGCACACTAAAAATCCCAAACATATCAAGCTCAAGACAGTGTCTAATACTTGAATGTAGTTTACCTGCATAACATAATACTGAAGGAGAGCTGAAGAAATATTTACTCAGACTAAGAGTCTATGAAAACCAAAGTTGTTTTACCTAACGAAAATACTCACCTTAAGAACAGATTTATCTAGGTTTGCAGCAGCACTGGAATCTGTTGTTGAACTAAAACTGTAAGTTTTTGGACCTGCAAATTGCAAATAAACATCAATTACATAAGCAGAACACAGAGAACATTGTTTACAGTAGCTAAAGCAGATCCAACATAACACAGGTTAGTGCAAGCAAATATTACACTAATTTGCCAGAAACATGCAGGTATATACAACAAAAACAATCAAAGGTACAGAAAGGCCCTTGAACAAGGAATAGGAAAGAAGGGACTCTTAGCAGACAAAATATAAAATCCCAAATGGCACAATGAGAGGAAATGGGATTGACTGCTCACTCTCTTTCAACACTGGAACAAGGAGTGCCAAATAGGGAAGCTAATGGCAGGTTCAAAACAAGCAAGACTGTTGAGGTTTTTTTATTACAAAGCGCATAGCTATGTAACAGAACTCTTTGTCACTAAAGCTGTGAATATTGGACGTTTACAGAAGTCCAAGGGCAGACAGGATAGCTTTGTAGAAAGAAATCAATCAATTTGGAAGGGCACTGAAAAAACATTGCACCTGGCTCAGGAAGACCCTAAACCACAGCTGGTGCATTTAAGAGTACCCTACAGCAGCATCACTGCATATCCGACCTATTCTTTCCTAGTGTCCTGGTTCCGGCTGGGACAGAGTTAACTTTCTTCCCAGCAGCTTGGGGGGTGTGCTGTGTTTTGGGTTTGGTGTGAAAGGAGCATTGATGGCCCATTGATGCTTTGGCTGTTGCTGGGTGATGCTTGCACTGGGGGGGCACAGCCGGGGTGGTGGACCCAGCTGGCCAATGGGGTATTCTATACCATGTGACATCATGCTCAGTATAAAAACCAGGTGCTGGGAGGGGGGAGGCTCGCCCCCCGTTCGTGACACACGGTCAGGGAGCAGTTGCATTGTGCATCGCCTGCTTTGTAGATTCTGTTCTTCTTGTTCTCATTGTCATTATTACTGTTCTACTTCGTTTTATTTCAATTATTAAACTGTTTTTATCTCAACCTGGGAGCTTTCCTACTTGTGCCCTCCCGATTCTCTCCCCCATCCCACCGGAGCGGGGGGGGGTGGGTGAGTGGCTGCGGGGGGGGTTATTTGCTGGCTGGGGGTAAACCACGACAGCTAGGTACCTGCTTCTGGCCCCTCTCTAGGAGAGGGCACCGAGTTACAGAGGCCTTTGGTCTGATCTGCGATGATCGTTCTTAAAGACTTTTCATTTAGCAGGTGTTAGAAAAATACTAATTCACAAAGCTATTTATCATCATTAGAATGACAACACACAGCTTGCTGTTGGATTCCATCTGTTGGATTTCAGAACACGCATACTGTTTCTGGTACTGCAGAGGTATAAAGAAACTGAGCAACCCTACAGCTTTCACTGCCCTGTGAGGCTGCATACCACCCCAGAGCTCCAAGGAGGCAGAGCTACTGCCCAGCTCCTCAGCCTGCCAGCAGGCACATTGGACAACTCATCTGGGCTCAGAGCAGAGAGACTCTAAGAAAGTCCATTTGTAGATCAGGACTGGGTTAGATAACTGCATTTAAGAAAAAAGCAGTCACCTCTGGTCAGGAGCTACAAAGAGCAGTTAGCACTCACGAGCTAATCACTGGCACTTACTGGTAGGCTGTGCAAATACATAGTATTTGGACTATACTAACTTACTTTTCACTTATACTGACTTATTTTTCACCACAGCAGACAACCTGGGAGAGAAGCAGGATTTCTGAAGAGGACTGACCACCATGGTGTTGGAGGAGTGGGACACACAAGAAATACATTTAGCAGAGCCCAAATTTGTAAAAGCAGAGTACGTGAATAGGTTCAGGAACTTTAAGTTAATGGATTGCAAGACTTTGTGTTAACAAGTTGGAATCGCAAATGGCCTTGCCATTGTATGATTTGCTTATAGTCTGCAAGACAAGTTGTTACTGATCTTATAAGGTATCTGAGCTACTTCTGACAAAGCTGGTTTATTGAAAACAGACATCTCACAGTGCTGCAGAACAAACATTTTTCAGGCTGCACCGTGAACACTCATCCCTCAGCTCATCTAATGCTGCTGGAGTGCCTCCAGCCCTGGAACTGCTCTGAACTTTTTCCATGACACAAAAAAAAATCCCAAATCCACATTACATTGGCTTTGAGCACATATAGAATGAACATCTACAAAAGACGCTCATTACTGGGAAAATGCCTCACCAACACTTGCTCCACAAGAGCCGCCAACAATTTAATGACAGACCTTTTGCAACTGACTCAACACATCAATGCCAACAAGGCTCATCTGCTCGGGGACACCCCAGAAGTAAGACGGGCTAACACCAGGCCTGACCAATCCCGTGTCAGAGGGATTTAAGGTGCCTCTCCCGACGCTCAATAACATCAAGCTTTTTAGCAGGCCTTCTCCCGCATCGCCGAGGCCCCCAGGCAGAGGCCGCGCCCTCGGGGACTCCCTAACGAAGCCATCCCTCCCGGCCAGCCGGGGCACCCTCAGCCGCCTGGACCTGCACCCCTCCTCCCCACGGCACAACCGCTCCCGGGGCTCCTTGGTCGGGGACGCCTCACGCCGCGGGGCCCGGTACCTTGCTTGACACGCGGCTCCT